AACGTTAACATTGTAAGAACTCCAGGGCTGTTCTCCTATCTGTTCTTGGAATCCTGTTGTCTGCCAGTTGTGACCTAGCCTGTCCTAAGGTCCTTTGTGAAAACTCTTTTATCAGATATTCCTTCTGGTTTATGCACCCTTATTTTTCTTTACCCCTAGTTTCCCTTCTTTCTTTTACCCCTTCTGGTGGTTGGTTTGTTTGGGTTTAAATGACTCTTGGCCTCTGCAAAGGCATCATCAGACTTGTCGCGGGTGGGCACAGGTAACCAGGTTCTTGGGGATCAGAAACAAAAAATTGAGCCGAACACATATAGTTTATAGCAGAAAGCGAGAGGAAGCACATTTATTAAGCCACACAGACCACGGAAGCAGGCCCACTCTGAGCAGAGCAGAGCAGAGCCTAACAGTCCCAAGCTCTGGGGCTAGAGTGCTTTTATTCCTTTTGGGTGGGTCTCCCTTGATTTCCTTGATTGGCTACCGGGCAGGAGGTCCCACAATGCTAATTTATTATAATACTATTACAATGAAGCAGGGGTCAGGTAGCCTCTTCTACACAGGTGCATTCCTGATTCACTAGGATTCAATGCTTTTCCAGAAAGCAGAAACAACCAGTCTTAGAACTGGGTCTCCGCTCTTTATCCCTGTTCTTTATCTTAGCCCTGGGGCACCTCTGGAGTTTCCTCCTTCCTGACTATCTCTTGCCTCAGACTGATTGGCTCCAGGTAGAGTTCTTTTTTCTTCTTCTCCATTTAAACATATAAAACACCAGAAAATGCAGGTTTACATTTTTATATACATCTCATCAAGGATACCTTTTCAACATATTGTCACTTTTTAGGGAAGACAAAATTTTGTGGCATTCTATACACAAGATAATATTATGAAGGATTTCATGTAAACAAGTTCATATTAAAAGAGGAGACACCAGCATTACCCCTACTCTACTAAGGTTCACACTCAGTGGTGGTGATGAACACATCTGACCACATGTGACTGTGAACAGAGGTCCTTCTCAATGCCACATTTTTTTTGTTCTTCAAGTTTTATTTTATTCTCATTTGAAAGAAACACAGATGAGAGAGAGAGAGAGAAATACACTGGCTGCGCCCTGCATGAGCCACAGCTGGCACCCTGGGAATGTACCCTGACTGGGATTCCAACTGGTAAACTTTCAGTTGGTTCCCAGATGATGCTCCAACCAACTGATCAATGCTACATTTTACAGAATTTCTTTTCTCTCACTATCAGTTATTGTGGTAACCAGGGAGAACCTGTGGGAAATACTCTGAGTTTCTTTAAAACCCAGTACTGTGGCCCTGGATGGTGTGACTTGGTTGGAGCATCATCCCCAACCGAAAGGTTGTGACTTTGATTCCCAGTCAGGGCACATGCCTGGGTTCCAGTTCAACCTGTCAGGGTGATTACCGGGAAGTAGCCCATTGATGCTTCCCTCTCATCTCCCCCTCCCCTTCCCTCTTCTCTCCTCTTTCTCTGTCTCATTGATGTTTCTCTCTCTCTCTCTCTCCCTTTCCCTCTCTCTCTCTCTCTCTCTCTCTCTTACTCTATCTCTCTCTTAATGTCCTCCAGTGAGGATTAAAACAACAAGAAACAAAAACAAAATCATACCACATCCGTGGCCAGATGGCTCTGTTGGTTGGAGCTTGGTCTTGCGCACCAAAATGTTGCAGTTTCGATTTTCCTCAGGGCAAGCACCTAGGTTGTCGGTTTCGTCCCTCCAGGGCATGTAGGGAGGCAAGCAATCAACCCCTAGTGGGGGCTCCTAGGGAAGGCAACTGATTAATGTTTATCTGTCTCTCTCTCACCCCTCCTCTCTTAAGCTCTCTCTAAAAATCAGTAAACATTAACCTCAGGTGAGGATTTAAAAAAAACCGTACTGTGGAATATATCATTTAAGATCTTCTTTTTTATTCTCCTTCATCTTAAAGACAGTTGTGATTGGATGGTTATGTTAGTTCCCACATAAATTCATATTTAAGAAAGCATCGATTTTCTGTCAGTGAACTTGGAACTGAATCTTGTTATGAAAGATCCACTATTTTCTAATACTTAGAGAAGATTTCTTCCATATTTGAATAATTGACATAACAACAAAAGTGACATCTTTATGCATGTTTCAGGTTTGTAATACCAATAGAGTTGAAATTTTAAGAAGCCTTTGGAGACAGAAACATTGCAGGTAACTATTCTAAATAAACAGTTCATGAGAAAATTACATTCTAGAAGTAAATATAAGACACCCTTTTGTATTCTTACCCTCTCTCTGGTATTTGAAGGAAATACCCATTTCTCACTGAATTGCCCACTGAAAAGTCCCTTAAAGAGTTGAAGAAAAATATGTAAAATGTTTTAGATCTTTCTGGTGAAATGTGTAGAAAATAAAAATCGAGGGGAAGAGTGAAATGAAAAGTAAATAATTGTAGCGCTAAATTACACTTTTAAAAAAATTATTACCACCCAGACGTGGCTGGCGTGGCCCTGTGGGCTGAGTGCTGGCATGTGAACCGGGGGATCACCAGTTCATTTCCTGGTCAGGCCTCGTGTCTGGGTCGCCAGCTCGGTCCCCGGTGAGGGGTCTGTAAGGGGCAGCCGCACATCGATGGTTCTCTTCCTCTCTTCCTTCCCCTCTCTCTAAAAATGAATAAATAAAATCTTTTTAAAAAGTTATTACCATCCAAAAGCATTTCCTGAATTATTTGGTCATTGCCTCTGCATCTACAGTTTGATGGAATATTTTGTTCATGTGCAGTAAAGTAAAAGAAAGGCTGCAAAGAGCCTAACTTCCTTTGTCTATTTAACTGTACTAAAAATTTCAAACAAGAAGTTCTGCATCCTTGACAGCTACATGTAAAAACCAGTGACTGCATTTTTCTACTTCTGACAGTGGTCAGTCTGCTGCCTCTCCCAGTCGAGGCTTTTTCTGCTTCCCTCCTCACTGGGGAAGCCAGTTAACTTTCACACATAAAGTCATTCAGGGTTGACTGTCCTATCTTATCTGTATACATTTCCCATTTTCTTTATTCTATTTTGAAAATTGCTCTAGAATAGGGACAAAGAAGGTAAAAGAAAAAGTGAAACTTAGCATACTTTTTTAAATCAGGAATTGTACTTCTTAAAAGTATATCTATGTTTTAAATAATGTTTTTCTCTCTATTGATTTTAGAGAGAGTGGAAGGAAGGGAGAAAGAGAGAGAGAGAAACATCAATGTGAAAGAGAAACATTAATCAGTTGTCTCTTGCATACGGCCTGACTGGGGATTGAACCCTCAACCCAGGTATGTGCCTTGACCAGGAATCCAACCAGCATTCTTTCAGATCTTTCAGTTTGCAGGACAATGCCAAAACAACTGAGACACATCAGCCAGGGCTGTAATTGTATTTTTTTAAAGGACAGATGCTGAAAGAGAAAGTAATTACAAGAGAGTACAAGAGTAAGCATAGAATTTTTTATATATTTACTAATGTACCAAATGCAATTACAGAACCGTTGTAGTGTGTGCCTCCATTATAGGTAAGTGTAAAACTAAAATAAACTCTTTCTGTTTATTTTAAGCGCATATGTATTTATTTCTATTTAATAGTTAACATAAAGTTTCTATTATAGGTACTTAGTTGCTGTGGGTTAAACACATTTTGGAATACTTCATATAAACTGCCCATTTTGTCAGTAAGCTCTCAACCTCACTGCCCCCACCCACCCAACACACACAATAGCAACATGGCTACATAAATTGTGATTTATTCATAGATAGGATTTATGTAACAATTAAATAAGTTATTTTTCTATGTTAAGTGAAAAACTAAACTAAGATACACCAGGTAAAATGATCACATCATATCAAATAAACATACACAAAAGGGAAATATGATAAAATACGAAATATATTTATGTCTGGCAAATAAAACTATATGTGATTAATTTTCTTTTTTATATTTTTATTTTCTTGCTATTATATTCATGGTTATAAAAAAATTCTGAAAATAAAATATTTGATGTTAAAATATTTGCTGTATAACTTTAAGTGGTATTTAATAGTAATAAGACTACCCTCAAAAGCAGTGTACAGTACAGTTAACAAGAAATTTTTTTCCAATTAAAATTTCTATGACACATGTGTTAAATGAGGAAGGACTCTACTGTTCATGATAGCATTTAATTCAAGCCAGTTTTATTAGATCAAAGAAATTGAATTTTGACACGTTCACATTCTTTAACTTACCAGCATTGGTCTTCAGATTCCACAAGTGAAATTTTTTTTGTTTTTTCCTTTTTTATTTAAATTTTTTTATTATTTTTTTAAAAAATTTTATTTATTTATTTTTAGAGACAGGGGAGGGGAGGGCCATGAATGAGATTTTTGAAAAATAAAAGTAAAAGTGAAGTCAGACATAAGTGTGTTTGTTCTTTAGGAAAATGGTAATCCAATAGAATAAGCTGGATTCCAATTAAAAGAATGTGATCATAATATTTCATGTAAGTTTTCCCTCAAACTCAACTTCTAGAAGTCAGTTCAACAGTTTACATTGAAAATTATGGTGATGTTGAACTCCTACAGCTCATAAAGCTTAAAAACTTTCTGAATAATATAATGAGGAGTTGTAGTTAGAAAATTCATTTCTTCTATAAATATGCCTTTAATCATTAAACTCCTTCATGAAAAGGACATTTATTCACAAGAAAATATTTGAAGTTTCATGTGGTAGGGAGGAAGCTGCCCTTCATAACAAGAGGAAACTGAGATTTAGAGATATAAAATATCTTGTCTACGTTCTGAGCTGGTAAGTGGCTGGCTCAGACTTAAGTCCAAGGTAATCTATTGACAGCATCTGAAGTCTGGGCTATTCCTGTTATCATTTGAAAAGTATTCCTTAGGAGCATAGTTCTGAAGGAATTTACCTATAATGTCACACACAAGAAACCTCCCTGCATCTATTCTTTTAATCAGAACAAAATAATAAAATTTTAAAATAAAAGATGTGCAGTGTCTCTTCAGCAGCACACATACTAAAATTGGAATGATACAGAGAAGATTAATGTGACCCCATCAAGGATGACAACAAATTCATGAAGTGTTTCCATGCTTTTAATAAATAAATAAAGCCTATTCATGAAACAAAGGCTATGTGAAAAACTCTAAAATAAATAAAGCAAAAGAAACTCAACATATTGTATTTGGATAAGTCACCCCATGTGGAAAAAAATATCTTTCCCTTTGAGCATTTATTGTTTAGAAGCATAGAATTTACAACTGGATCTATCTTGGTTATTTTGCTTATTTCCTTTAAGACATTTAACATGCTGGGACAACTGTAATTGAACAACAATAAAAAAGAAATAAAAAAAAAGATATTTTACACACTTAGATTCTCCTCCAGCAAGATTAGGTTGATAATAATAAAGAGAAGGAATTACAAAGGTAAGATCAGGTGTGAGAATTATAACTATTATGTTCTTTTAATAATAATAATCCTTTTATCAAAACAGTAAAAATTTAGCCTGGATGACAAGTTTTTAAATTTCAGTCGAAATTGAATTGCTTTCACAATGTTATATAAAATAAAAAGATGTTAAATTTTGGAATAAAAGCAATAAAAGAAGTTAATTTTAAAATGAAATGTGAAGTCAGAAACAATTTAGCACACATCATACATAACCTAACTAGGAAATCAATTAATCTCATGTTTTCTTCATCTGTATCAAACCAAATTGCTACATGTATTCTAACAAGCTATATAAAGTGTACTGCTCCTATTCAGGTAGCAGAAGATGAAAAGTACTTCCACTTGACATTTGGATTTTACATAATAATCTAAAACTATAGAATTGTCCATTCTTCCTTCCTCTCTCTTTCTCTTTCTTTCTTTTACCTGATGTGAATATATTCCTTCTTCCTGTCTGTGGAGTTCATACTCCTTTTAAACTAGCTAGACCACTGTGATCTTCCCATAATAAGTATTTCTAAAATACAAGCCAAAAGCATGCAATCTAGCAATTAACGTCACGTACAATAGAGGTAAAGGAGGCTTTCAAACTTCTCTTGATTCAACACTGTCCTTTGACTCCTGGAAGGACGGAAGAAAGTAGGGTCTTTGATAACATCATAGAGTCTGAAATATCCATCCCTGGAACGGGGCAGAAGCTGGAGCTGGAAGAGAATCAACTGCTGAAATATATTTACAAGGCAGAACTGACAAGCTTTCTTATTGTCTTGAATTAAGGCAACCAGGGAAAGGAAAAAATTAAGTATATCTCCCAAATTTTTGGTCAGAGAAACTAGAAGGATACTGTTGCCATTTTTTTGGTAGTGGAGAATGCATTGGGAGAAACCGTTTTTAGAACAGAATAAGGAATTGTATTCTTGATGTTTAGCTCATTCAAGACATACAAGGAGAAATATCAGGTAAGCACATGGATATAAATATAGGATTTAGGAGTTTATGAAAAAGATAGGGACTGGAACGATGTATCTGAAAATCTTAAGCACCTAAATTTACTTAACGTGAGACTGGGGTGAAGCTGCCTTCAGAGAATGTATACAGGGAAAAGAAAGATGTTCGAATAAAAGCCTGTAGGAAGAGTCAGCAAAAGAGACCCATAGGTTGGTACATGAAGGAGGAAAACAGGTTCTGTGTGGTGTCATAGAAGCGAAAGGAGAAAGTGTTTTCACCATAGAGCATGTCTTGTCGTAAAAGTTGCTGGGAAGCAGAAAGGATATTTGGAGCTTATTGGTGACCTTCACACAAGAAATTTCACTCTTGGAATGAGTTAAGTCAGATTGGTGTGGGTTAGTGTAATTATTCTTATTTTTCTTACTTCAGAAATTAAATTTGAGAAAAAAAGGTCACTATATTTGAGAATGATCTATTGTCAACAATGATAGTAGATTATAGAGAAATATAGAGAAATGTTTTGGTAAAGGGGACTCAGAATTCTTTTCCTCAGCTATTTGAAGTCAAAATTTCGATGTTCTACACATAAAACCATAAAGTAACATGCCATTTATTTTACCATTAGTTCTAATACTCAATTTTGTTTTATTCATATGTCTGTTCTCCTCCATTATTGGAACAATAGAAAATAATATCTCTTACAATTCACTAATGTATAATTGAGGCAGCAATTATATTAAAACATATATTTAATATAAATTTATATATAACATATCAATAACATATTTATAAAGAAATATATTATTTTTTCACAGAAACTGTACATATAACACTTAGATATTAAAATTAACATAAAACTTGTGTCTTCATATTCCTAAATTTAGGTTCCTAGGGTAAAAAACTTAGATAATTGATTTTAGAGCCTCCTTCTTTTCTAATTTATGTAAAATGCTATAAGTTTCTCTCTAAGCTCTGCTTTTACTGCGTCCCACAAATTTTGATAAGTTGCCTTTTTATTCTCATATATTTCAAAATATTTTCTGCTTTTCTTCTTTGAGATGCCAATTTGAGCTTATGCAATATCTGAGTTTGACGTACTAACCTGGAGAGCTGTAATTCAAATTATAATTCAGAACACATCATGCCATATTACTGTGTATGCTAGAGTAAGTGTACATATCCTGGTATGACATGATATGAGCTTGAACATATAACTAGCATATAGTATATATGCCTGACACAAATTAGGTACACAATAAACAGAAACTTTTGGGGTGGTTGGGTAAATAATAAGGGCTTAATTAAGATTTGTTCATGTAAGAGATGATAAATAGGCAAATGACTTTTCATTAATACTTGTAAATTTCTGAAAGACTAAAGTCTTTAGCTGGAACCACCTTTATGGAACATAGGAAAGATTGGGAGGAAAGGGGATTTCTTTGTATTAAATTCCATGTCACTATGTAATGAATACAGAGGCAAACTTTTAAAGCTAAGTCGGGTTAAACATCAGCATACCAGACACAGACGCTTTTACTTTGCTTAAATTAATTACAAACACAACATAAGTGATTTTTTTCTCATCTTTGTTTTTCTCCTATGCAAAACAAACACTCTGCAGGGATTGCTAGTTCTTTGGCTTCTTGAAAATGAAAGAACACTAGGAAGGGGATTTTCAATGTTTAATCCTTCTTACCTGGAGAAGCATCATCCCCAATGTGCTTTTGCCCTCATGTAAAAAATAAAAAAGAAGCTGCAGAGGTGCTTCATAAGACACAGGAGCCACATTTGTGCTAAATTAAACAAAGTGCCTGGGGGTATAGTGTTCCAGCTGTTTTAACCCTGGTGTTTTCCTTTCTGGATTTCTGATTAAAATTCTTAATATAGCTGGTAAATTCCTCCTTTGTCTCAATAAAACTAAAATACATATAAAATGGATGTGCCTAGTAGCACAAGCACAGAGAAATACTTACCTAATACCTTAGTGACTCTAAACTCATAATGAATTCATTCATATTATATGGTAGACGCTCGTAGAGTTTTATTTTAGTGTGTTAAATTGACCTAAAAATAGTAACAATGGTTTGGGGAACTTTATTAGTGTAGAAGGCTAAATGCTGACTAGTCTATCCTCTAAGCACCAAGAGAAATACCAGAAATGTGCTCACTCATATCCATTGAGTTTATACCACAAGTGGTGAAGGATAGTTTTCTAGTGTCCCATTGCTTCTGATATTTTGTCTGAGAGATTTATTCTGACACTAATGTTATATTTAAGTAGAGTTAAATGTAACAGAAAACATTTGATAATGTTGCTTTTCATTATTGGAATTGGTTAAGTTAATAAGGGAATTCCTCTCCAACTTTTAGGAGTTATTTTCATATGGAATAACTCTTATTTCTTAGCATTCCAAATCAGTAATGTGTCATCTTTCAATGACTGACATCATGGAAATTTTTGTCTCCATACATTATTGGAGGTAGGAAAGGAAAAATAAAATGTTTTCAATTTATTTATTTTAATTTATTATTTTACTAGTAGTTGAAGGAGATTCTTAAATTAGCAAACTCCTTGTATTTCTTATTTTTTTCTAAGTGCTGGAGGCTTCTTTTAATTGTTGTTGTATAACAGTCGTCCCAACTTTCCCCCATTGTTTTCCCTGTCCCAGCTACAGTCAGTCCCACCCTGTTCGTCAAGTCCAAGGGTCATTTATATCTGCTCGTTGATTAGACCCTTCCCCTTCTCTCCCCGCTTATCCCCCTCCGCCTTCCCTGAAGCTTCCCGCCCCCGTGGTGTTTGTTCCTCATCTTTAGGATAACAATGGCAACAGTTCAGTTATTTAAAAAGCTGGCGGCGGGCGGGGCCGGGGGGTGGAGAGTCGGGGAACAACTTGAAATCATTGTTTTTCTCTTAATGAAGGGAGCTGGAAAAATGATTGTTGGTGGTCACTAAACCTGACTTTAGTTTATATAATTGAATAGTAAACAGATATCTTTCATGAATAAAAGTGCGATGGACTATGTTGGAAAGGGATTCTGTCTAACACTCTGCCTTTTAAATTCCTAACTCCCTATTGCCGGTATTTGTTACTTCAGAAATTTCTACCACTTTGTGTGTCAACCTGCAAGGTATGCTGTGGTCTTGGTGAGGACATCAATGAGAAAGCAGTAAACCTTTCTAGAATTTATGTAATATGGTTAGATTTTCAAAGTTTCTAAAGGTATTAAAATTTCTAAAAGATAAATTCTTTAGTATATGTATGCCATTAGTTCATAATTTTGTAAAAAGAAGACTGAAATTTAATAGACAATTTATATTTTTTATTTCATTCTCTTCAATAGCTGCTGTCCTTCAACATAAGATCTGGGATGCCAGGGAGAAGGGGGATCTGCGAAGGGCTTGTCTAATAGGGATGGGCAGGGTGTGCAGAGAGGGTATGTGAACGTCCAAGGAGACTTATCCGGTCACGAGAGATGTGCACATGACTGTGTGCTGTGCCCAGCACTCATGCAGGAGCAGGGTCTCTGGATACCACTTCCAGAGAGGCTTGCTCAAAGTGCCCTATTCACTCAACCTCAATCTTCGGAACTATGCAGAGTGCCTATTACAATCTAAGTAAGAAAATTAATAAAATTCCATATTGCACGCTTCATGTAAAACAAGAGGAGAAAAAAATTTTTTTCCTTTCAACTGTC